ATATTGATGAGAATTAATGAACGATAAAATTGATATTGTGTGTGTTACTATCACATAAAAGAGACATCTTAAGTTATTAATTTGAAAAGTACTACTGCCTGTGGACGTGGCCATCTCCACGGCCACGTGGCTGAAGACCCGCCTGCTTAGGGGGCTGCTCTACAGTAAAGAGGGTCTGCTCACACAGCAGACCCTACATCTACACATCTGCAGAAGCGCTGCTGGGGACTGATCAAGATCTCAGCCCCCTCTCTCCTCCAACTGGCTACTGCAGCAAAGACCAAGACCCTCCTGGTCTCGGTGTACCTTGTGCCCTTGGAGCTGTCTCTTATACACATCTAGATGTGTATAAGAGACAGGGATTTCATGCAGTCAGTCCCAGTTTCCCTGTCCTAGAGTCCATATTGGTTCTGGTCGCAGGCTGTCCTGGTAGGTCGAGTCCTAAGGTCCGCAGGTTGAAGCATCGCAGGTCGGTAGGTCAGGTATGGAAATGTTGCAGAAGGTAAAAGTCCTCATCTACCGCCAGAGGAAGTCAAGTCACAAAGTCCAATTTTGCCGCAGCGTCCCAAGAAAGTCCGGAGAGTACGGAACACCAGACTGAGTTTTGGCAAGCAGAGGCTGCGGGCGACCGATACCGGTCAGAAGCGAGCACAAACAGTCAACTGCAGCCATTAATAGCTGCTACAGTGCCAAGGCCGACACATTGTTCACTCGCGAAGTCGCAGAAGCGCTGCTGGTTGCTTGTGTGGTCGTGCGTGCGACTTGGACTGCAATAGGCGCTGGGGGAGAACCAAGCGCCGTGGCGGAGATAGTCAGCTATCGTAGGGTTAGGAGGGGGGAGGAAGCGCTGAGCCCGGTTCTCAGCAGATTCTGTTCGGTCACTCCGGGTAGACTGTGAGGACCCCGGCCTCAATCTTCTTATTGGTAATATCAGCCTTGGGTACAAAAAGGAGGGGGGAGGAAGACGGCGGCTATAGCCACTGAAGCTCAAAGTGACATACCGCAGTGTAATCACGGTAGATCTTAGGCGAGGGGAGAGAGCTTGAGTGCATCGGTGACCTTGAGCTATACCAGACCTGTGTGTGTGTGTGTGTGTGTGTGTGTGTGTGTGAGAGAGAGAGAGAGAGAGAGAGAGGGGAGTTGTGTACATACCTGGATTTGGGTTGAAGTACAACCTGGGGTAATCAATGCTGGTGGAATATTTTCTGTCTTTTTCTGTGTCTTTTTCTGTGTCTTTTTCTTGCTGATCTGTTCAGGGACTGTAGCGGACCTCGGGTTGGCCTGTGAGACCAGCCCCTTGGCCTGTTCTCACAGGCCTGTGTTATATTCGGGGTAGGCCAGTCCAGGCCG